CAATAAATGAGCTACCGGAAATCGTACGCTGGCGTATTACGTACATACAATTGTCCGCTATCCGCGAATGTGCCAGTGGACAGTAAACTAAGTACGAGACGGTTCTAAATGGGGAGCGAAAGCCAAAACATGACGCAAGGAAGGTTTATATGGAAGCCCAGTCAGTGGGCCGGGTAGATCAACGGAGGGATCGCTGACCCGGTGGCTTTGGTAGAAGTTGCCAGAAAACTGCAGTAAGCATCCCCAAGTTTCCTGGAAGCGAAGCCTAACTCTAGGCTACGGTGACTAGATCTGGATTCAGCGGCCAAGTTGAATAAGACAGCCAGCTCGCAGGCAATTTAATTGGGGTAGAAGGAAACAATGGGAATTGGCACATAAAATGGCGTATTCATAGTGCAGATGGCAACATAAAGAAAACCAAAACGCGTGAGCCAGAGGGTTGCTTGCTAAGTACTAGGAGGATGGTCCGCAAAGGTTTTCTCCAACCCAAAAACGTGGACGCGTGAAAGCGCAGCCCATTTCTCCGTATGAACGCCAAGTAGTAGGTACGCAGGTAATTTGAAGATGACCGCTGGTTTGTACCCTAGATACCTGCGCCAAGTGCTTGCAGTTAGATGGATGTGGTAAGGTGGAAAAACGCCATAGTTTTTTCATCTCACTAGTAAGGCAGGTAGGAAACGGTGAACATGACCTTGATTCCATACACGAATTGACAAGCCGGTGGATTTGGATGGACGGTGAGCAGGAATCGGCATGGCGTACGCCAAACCGGTATGACCGATTTGCTAGTGTAGAAGATGTGGCTCGATTTGTTAGAAACTAGCTGCTCCATGGCCAAGAGAAGTGATGTTAATCTGGGCGTATATACGGTGGGCATAAGGAAGATACCTGTACGCGTGAACTGCCCTAAACAACCTCGTGTATCCGTAATGTGAGCGGGGGAAAGGAAAAGACAATACGTCTGAACTGTCGTAAAAGAAGCTGACGTAATATGAGATTTAGCAAATGCAAGCTGTAACAGTAGAGTGGCTAATGACTACTATTCCGATTGCTAGGTAACTGAGGAGGCCATCTGCAGGTTTATTCCTCTAGGGTGGTTGTTGGTCAGGTAAGATCATCTTCTAGTAGAATCGTAGACCTTAGGAATTGATGGCAGTATCCTAGATGGCCAAAAAGTGGGAGCTAGCACCAATTTTTTTGGGGGGTAGGTTGCGCAATAGGTGGTATGGATTGAGCGGTAAGCAGTGCGTGGAAAGCTTATACCAGGTTGACCGGCATTCGTAAGGGAGGGCGAAAAACTTGGCAGAATGGGAGATGTGAATTGTCAGAAATCTCGTGCGCACTGGTACATTATAAGTAGGCATATATTCATAACTAAAAACTATATCACATTTACCAATCGTCCAATGTTTCATCAATTTCACCATATTTGTCACCTTGGTCTACGCACGGCCCCTACTGGGCCGGCTCACGCTTGCCGGTTTTCCCCCAACACGTGTTTAAATTATTAAATAAGCCTTCTTCAAGGACGAATCGACCATACAAATAAGTGACCATACCACGTAGAAAGCATCGGTTCTCCTCCGATCACCGAAGTTAAGCTACGTTGGGCCTGGTTAGTACTTGCATAGGTGACCGGCTGGGAATACCGGGTGTTGCTAACATATTTTGCAAAGACGAGGCCCTTCGGGCCTAAAATATAAAAATTGATTATTATTTATTAGTATGTCCCCAGTACTCAATGCCGAAGGAATGAGTCCCTGACAGGAATCTTTGAAAACGAAGTTCCACTTCCGGTTATTGACCTCCTATCCCGTAGGCCGACATTTCTAACCACCCAGCTGCCTGGGGTCTTATTTAATAACCCGCAATGTCTTGTCCCATAAAGGACGTATATAACGAAATTGTTTTGCACTATGCAAACCTGAGAAAGAGTAATCAATGCCAAATACACTGTAGATGTGGTCCACATTGACTTCCAGAAGGCCTTTGTTAATGTTCCATCTCAAAATCTCCCTGAAAAAATGACAGCGATTGCCATCAGAGGCATAATTTTACGTGGATGAATAAGTTCCTCGTTGATCGTTCCCAAACTGTGTTTATGACGAGAACTATCAAGGAGCGCCGTCATTGAGAATGCAGTTCCGCAACCTTCAGTGCTCAGACCGACCTTCTTTCTCTTGTTCGTCAATAATTGTGAACAGGAATTGGACTGTGAGTGTGCCATGTTTGTTTTGTTTGACGTAGCACTCTCGACAGTCATCAACAGCGCTGCCAGCCAAGCCGTTTTCCAGGAAAACCTTCGTCTATTAAAAGAATGGTCCTGCAGATGGCTCCTGTCCTCCGACTCGAACAAGCTTACTCTGCTGCGTCTGGAAAGTGGGAATCTGGTCCCTGATATGCGACCATCCTATGGGAACGGAACGCCACTCCGAGATGCAGAAATGCATAGAGATCTTGGCATCTAGGTGAGAGACAACCTAAAACCTTCTTCAAACTTTTTAAGGCGGGTAAACCTGCTGTACTCCAGCCAGCGAGCATTTACACTTTTTGATGAATGCTGCTTTAATTAATTCTTCGGTACTTTTATAAGGCCACATCTTAAATACGGGGTTCAAGCCTCGCTAAAACCTTAATCTCTGTCCTCTGATTTAAAGACAGCCACACGGAGACTTGAGAAAATCTAACCGTACCGTCCTCGGCTTGAACTGCACCTTCCTGGGTGATGAATTTCTCCAATTCGCTACCACAACTCATCTCTGGGAACGTGTCTGCAAATTACGTGTGCCACAAGGCAGGTTGGATGTAAGGAAGTATTTTTTTCTCTACTCAGGTACCGGAACCATAGAATAACTTACCCGTGGCTGTTTCAATGTCCCAATCGGGTGGAAACTTCAAGCACCGACAGGATAACCAAATGCAGCAGCATAACGTTAATAATGCGATAAAGTACCCTTGGGATAAGAGTAAACAACGCGATTCTGTTTACATTCAAATGACTGTAAGCTATTTACATTGTTCCTCATTCTTGAAATTTTGATACGAAAAAGAGGGAGCTATTGAAAAAAGTTAGATATCCATCAGTGCGCCCGACCACTGGCGTTCGCAGTTGCCTACAATCCTCAAAACCAGATTGTCTTTCTCCTAATGGACGTGAAAAAGCATTGGCCAGGCAAGACTGGCCTTATCGTTGAAGATTTTGAACCGCACAATATGGACTGATAAAACG